TGACTCATGCACCAACCGAAATTAAAGAATCCCATAAAAGCAACCGTTAATGTCCGCCTCTGATTAATAAATAGGCCCCCCGCCCTGAATGACCCTAAATAAAGTTAAGGGGGAAAACATCAGGGTCAGGAAAAGTTTAGAATGTGTTTAGTATTCGGCTCTGTTGTTTTTGGATTTCGAATACTACTTTAGAATTGGGCCAATTCTAAAGTAATATTAAACATATTATGTGTTTTTTAATTTGATTTGGGGGGAATGCTAGTGTAGAATTGGGGCAATTCTGAAGTAGTGGGCCAAGAACTCCCGCATGCATTTCATGACTTCATGAGGGTTGGCATGGGCTGGCATGCATTCTAGGAAGGATTGAGAAGGAAATTCATGAGGGTTTGCATGGGCTGGCATGCATTCTAGGAGGGATTGAGAAGAAAATTCATGAGGGTTTGCATGGGCAGGTATGCATTCCAAGAGGGATTGAGAAGGAAATTATGAGGGTTTGCAGGGGCTGGCATGCATGCATTCTAGGAGGGATTGAGAAGGACATTCATGAGGGTTTGCATGGGCTGGCATGTATTCCAGGAGGGATTGAGAAGGAAATTCCTGAGGGTTTGCATGGGCAGGCATGCATTCCAAGAGGGATTGAGAAGGACATTCATGTGGGCTGGCATGCATTCTAGGAGGAATTGAGAAGGACATTCATGAGGGTTTGCATGGGCTGGCATGTATTCCAAGAGGGATTGAGAAGGACATTCATGAGGGTGTGCATGGGCTGGCATGCATTCTAGGAGGGAATGAGAAGACATTCATGAGGGTTTGCTTGACCCTGAATAAAGATAAGTGTTGGAATCCATGCAAATTCAGATGACGGTCATGCAATGTGTTTGAAGTGCTGGTTTGGCTGAAATCCTAGCAAATTCCAATGAGAATGAGGGTCCAGGCCATTGACCCTGAATAAAGATAAGTCTGATTAAAGGGATTTAGGGTCCATGCATTTGATTCTGAGTCCAAATTTTGTCTCAAATGTGTTTATCGTTTTTGTGCTTTTCTTGTGCATTTTTTTTTTTTTTTGGGGGGGGGGGGGGGAAGTTTAGCTTTATTTAGGGGTAGTTTATTATTTGGTTTGGGGAAAAGTTTAGCTTTATTTAGGGGTAGTCTACTAATCGTAGGTGGACATTATTTGCCCCGAGTTAGTTCTGAAGGAAGATAAGGGGGGAAACTCATGCCATGAGGAAACCAACTTTAAACATCACCCAAACGGCAACGAGACCGAAACGACCGAAATGAAACATGAGTTTGAACACCCACCGAAGGACATAGACGTGGACTGGCCAAGCAACATGAAAGTAGACCATGCTACAGCAACACTAAACTCCGTTTGAACAACATCCGATTTCAATAGTGGAGCCCGAAAAGGCTTTCTTGTGGGCTCCCCCTCCCCTCCCTCCCCCGAAGGCCCCATGACAACGCGTTAAGGAGTATCACCCCATCTTGAGCACCAAAGACAGCTCACCTGGCCAGAAAGCGATCTTGACTCCATGGAACATGTAGGACTTCATACCAAACTCCCCGAAGGTCCAAAGAAGATCATTTCAGGGACCGCTTGCACAGCTGCGCCCCTCCAAAACAGGGGGAATCCCTGCTCAACGGCTGGCTTCCGTTGGTTGCCTTGCTTCGCGGAGCTGAGAAACAAGGCAAACGAGGTGTACACAAACTGAAGACCGGATGTTCGAGTCAACACCAAGACATATCTGTGCTTATTTTTTCTTTTTTACACTGGAAGGTGCTACAAATGCAAACATAAAGTGCACAAAAGGAAAAACCGATTTGGAAGCCGATTGTCCTTTTGAAATAGGGGTTTGTAGCTTCCTGAAAATGACCATACAAGTCCAAACGGTTTGCTTGCCTCTAGCCTGGTCCAAACCCAACAAGTCTAAATGGGGAGTGAGAACTTGTCGTCCATTTCTGCAAAAAATGAGAACACAGTAGTGAAATCGATTCCCTTTAAAATCAACAAGGGACAATGAAAAAACACCAACAGCAAATTAAAGTTGTTGCTGGTCGGTCCGGTCATGCTTTTCCCTCCTTTGGAGTGCGAAAAAGCTTTGCGAATCCGAACCCCTGCCTTCAGCGTCCGGACCCCTCCTCCGCAACAAAGGTGCCGCCTCCTCCGTCCAGAAATCATCTGAAGCCTCCGCCTCCGGCTGTGGGACACCTCTTGGGGATCTGAAGGCAATGCAAACGGGCGCGTCTCTGAAAATCGGCACTTGCTCGGAATTGAAGGGAAGCTGAAAAAAAAGAAGACAAACAGAAGAAGAAAAAAAAACCTTGAAAGCGTCCAGCAGGTTTACACACACACTCATGCAACTTCACCAAAGTCGAATAAGACTTGGAGCAAAGACCCCGCCATGCAGAGAATCGCGCATATAGTGTAAGTCTCAAACTGGGCACCCACCAAAATGATGGATTCCTTTTCTTTTTGCTGCCCTGACCCCTAGTTTCAAAAGTCCGCAACATATTCAAGGTCGGGTACAAGCCGTTCAAAAAAGAGTACTGTATCAACTTGGGTATGTGTCAAAATAAGGGAACCCCATGTTTGGGTGTTTCTCCTTTTGGTCTCCCGAAAGAAACCAATCCAAAAAGGCTACCCCCAGAAAAAGCAAAACATGCCCACATCAAAGGCAAGGCTTGGTCACCAAGCCTTAGCTGAACTGGAGCCCAGTTTGAAGAAGTTCTGGGTTTGCCATTAGCTCGAACGGGTTCGAATGCAAGCACACCACTGGGGTTTCCTCAATCAATTCCCTCGCCAATTGACGTGGAGATTTCCCAAATGGGGTCCATTTCCAAAAAGGCTGGGTGTTTTTGCGTGCTCAGTAGGGAATGACTTTTCGGGTGTTGGGAATGAACCTAGGGATTCCCTTCAAAGAAACCACAAGGAATGGTTGAGAAGGGGTCATTCCATTTCTCATTCCTGCCATCGAACCGGCTTGTTTTTGGGGGTTCCATGTCGCTCTGCAAGGCTTAGAATCATTCCAAAACCTGAAGTAAGAATCGGATCCCCAAGTGTTCAGGATCTTTGCCATGGCTTTCGCTCGGTTTGGTCCGCCCGACGCCTCGGGGAGGAGTTCGGCAAAGCCATCCCAGGTGCCCGGCGAGTGGAAGCGCAGCCAAAAGCCGAAGCCGCACATGGCAGTCGTTGAAGCCACGGGAATCGTTGAGGCTTTGATGTGATACCTTCCATTTCCATCCTTTCCAGGGATCCGAATCTTAGAAAACCTCCGGAAACCCAGGGAAACGGATCCGGTTTTTGAAAAGAACGATGGTTGAACAGAATGGAAAAGTAATCAACACCTAGAAAGCTTTGATTTGGCTCACTCGTCTGGACCGCCCTCAGATCCCCGCTAAAAGAACAAAATAGCGGGGTAAATAGGAAGATCCAACTACGAAACTAGCTCAAAAGCTCAAAAGCTCAAAAGCTCAAAAGCTCAAAAGCTGAGGGACCACATGGCTGGAAGCCACCGAGCTGGATTGGCCAAGAAGCCCCACAAAAGAGGATGAAGTGGGAGTGAGAAGGGAATCTCACAGAAAAAAGCGGCCATTTTTTCGGGGTTCCCGTATTGGACCCAGAGCCCCAAATAAGCCCCAAGGGTGGTTTCATGGATTGGCCATGCCAGTCCTGAAACGCGTGAGCAGTTGTTTCGCACTCCAATTGGATCTGGTCCGTTTGCCAAATTTTGATAAGTTTGGGTTATGCCCTGAGTGCTTCTGCGTCGAATGGCCTGAGTGTTGTCACGGCCAAGCTGCTTTTTGGACAACTCGATCTATCTTAGATTTTGCAGCTAGGTCGGAAAGGGTTAAATGTCAAACTTCAGGGGCCATGAATTGCTCATACATTCAGCCCTCACATGATCTATGCTTAAGCCTTTCTGGAGCGCGGCGCTGCATGCATCACCATGGAACGTGATGGACTGGTGTGCTCACGAGGGCCCCCCAACATGAGTGGTGTCCCCTTGGTTTCCCTTAGAAACAGTGCCAAACATGAACAGAATGGCTCACGAACCGAGACAATGATACATGAACATCTGTCTCCTTGCAGTGGGGATCCAGATCAGGAAAATCCCGCGCACAGCCCTAGGCCCTAAGCAACGTCTGCTCAGTTCCCCAAAGCGGAGATTCACCGAATCTGGGTTTTGGAGTTCTTGGTCGCCAAGTCCGCTGCTGGAGTTGCATTCAAAATGTGCCCATCCTCCCACAGAGCATCTGGAAGATCAGTTTCCTCTTAAAGCCCTGTGAGGTGCTATGTTAGTGGGAGGCTAGCCATGATTCTTCTGATGGGTTGTTCTCCTTTGAAACCCCGTAAGGGCATCCTCCAAAGCATCCTAGCAAAGGTCCCGCGGACGGGAAACCCTCTCAAAATGATGACGATAGAAAACAGTCCGCATGCCCTTCGGTGATCCTGCCCTTTGCGTTCCTTTCTGGCGATCATGGGATGTTTTCCCAAACAAAGGTGTCCTTTTGGGAAATGGCCCTAGCTAAACCACCAGGTAAACAAAAACAACCAAAAAGGGCACCTCCCCAAACGGTGCAAAACCCATTCTGTTGGTGGGCAACTTCCACGACTTATCACTCGGGAATTGATTTCCTTTCCGAACGGCCAACCAAAGTCCGATGCTACACAACCATGTTCCCTCAGCCGAAGTCTTTCATTTCCCAGCAACCAAACCGTCACCTCTCGGAGGGTATATTGGGTAGATGCGGAACGGGGTGCACCAAAAAGCGCCAAGGTAGACGATTTCGGCCCAGGTGAGTAAACCATTTGCACAGGTTCCCAGGAACAGAAACCATGTCCAGTAGGAAATTACTTTCCTTCAAACCCAACAGGGGCCAATGCACAAGATGTTCTTCAGCAAATGGCTGGAGGAAACCTGGTCGGGCTCCTTGACGCGCAAGATGGCATTCCTCCGGCCATGCAACATCGAACGGAAAGAGGTTCTGAGCACCAGGACTGCCCTGGAGGGTATGCCGCCGCCTCCTCCCGCCTCGGGGATTTTTGGTGTGAAAGGCCAAGCCACAGGAAGCCCACTCAGATGCCCAGTGGATTTCGCACCCTTTTTTCGGTTGGTTGGGTTTAAAGGGGAACCCTTACCCCAAAAACAAAAAGGAAAAAAGGGCGCCACTGGGCAACTGGGCCAACAACGTGGCTTCTGAAACCCAACTTCTGAGACAAGCACCGAAAAAAAAAGTGGCCCAGGATCTATCTAGTTCGGCTTCGGGCTTGGATTCCGGTTGGAAGTGCCGTAACGACAGCCCAAGGATCACAATATCGGGGTGCTGCGTGAACCATTTGATGGATTTGGTAGCTAAGCTTACCCCACTTGGTTGCATCGCTTTGGGAAGTATCCGCGCGGGAGCTGGCTTTACCCCCGGGGTGAGCTCGACAAAAATGGTTTCTCGGGGCTGCGCGAGGCTTTCGCCAACCAAACATCCCGTGCCGAAAGCACCGCCGTACCTCAGATGCCCAGTGGAAATGGGACAAAACGGGATACAACCCCTGTAGAAGCTACAAAAGCACCAATGGGTCTTGTGGTGAGGCCAACTACAACCAAAGAGTTGATAACCTGAATGGCCCAAAAACACCCTCCACCGCATTTCCTCTACCGGGTTTCTTTTCCAACTCCGAGTTGCATTCTTGCAGTGTAGTCCGCATTAGAAAGTCAACCTAGAGTGGGCACCCTAGCCTCTTGAGAAAAAGGCAGTCCATAGATCTCTGGGAGTTCAACAGGTATAATATACCCTTCTCATCGCAGGGTCGACCAACATCGTAGCTCCAAGTTCCAAGAAAATAGAAGCCTAATACATGGAGATCCCCCCCCTGAAAACAAAAATGAGACCCAGCTATAAGCCCTGGTTCAAATAGAGAACTCGGTGCCAGTAGTATCCGCCCCCATGCCATGAACACTTAAAGTCTATGCAGCCTGGAACCCTAAAGAAACAACACCCCAAAATGAAGGAGGTTGCAACATAGACCCCTTCAGTGTCCATCATCCCCCCCCCCAGGCCCCCACCCCACCAAGAAAACCCGCAAAAAGGGACCCATGTTTCAGCGGATCATTTCATGACGTGAGGCGCCGGGCGGTCTCTCTTGCTTCGATTCTCGGTGTCTTCGGCCCCTAGGCGCGCGCTCGCTCGCTCGGCGCCCGCACTGGAGGATGTGTACTTGCTGTGTCTTGGTTGGCCGAGTTGTTTGCTGGTTGGTTGGTTGGTTGGTTGGTTGGTTGGCTGGCTGGCTGGCTGGCTGGCTGGCTGGCTCGTTGGTTGGTTTGGTTGGATTGTTTGTTTGCTGGTTGGTTGATTGGTTGGTTAGTTGGTTGGTTTATTTGCTTGTGGGTTTGGTTGCTTGGTTGGTTTGTTGGTTCATTTGTTTGTTTGTTTGTCTACTTGCTTTGGTTGTTTGGTTGTTTGGTTGGTCGGTTGGTTGGTTGCTTGCTTGGTTGGTTGTCCACTGGGTTTGCTTTTGCTGGTGTCGTTTTTCAGGTCTGGGACTTTTTCCGTGAGGCCAGACAAATAAGGAAAGAGCAGTCAAGACTGGCAATGCCAGGACTCCGAATCTGTGATGGTTTGGGACTTGTGACTCGACAGACATAGTCCCAGGGCAAGGGCTAAGGGATTTGGCCAAACCAATGTACAAAAACACGTGGCGAGGTCTGTCATTTGCCTAGATACTGTATCGACCATTTCGACTCACGGTCAAGAAAAAGAGAAGACCCAAACTGGCCGACTGGGTTTGTCTGCGCAATCCAGCCACGATCAAACTAGCTTTTTTCTTAATGCCTAGCCAACCATTTTGCTGGAAGTATTTCTGGAAATCTGGCCATCTGGCAAACCCGAAAAGGGTTGACCCCTCAAGCAGGCCATTCCAAGTCTCATTCCCTACCTATCGTACCAGCAAGTAGATTTCCCTTCACAATTATATGTTGCCATACTACTAAACCTCTCCCCCAAACAGGTGTACATATATATATATATACACATCTACTTATACACACATATCTGCCAGGGACAAACCTTCAATCCTACCCGAAAAAGCACGCATGTCCATCGCAATCGCTGCATGTCTTGAAGCAGTTACTCTGTCGGACCCGCAAAGCGCTACCCTGAGATCAACTTGAGGCCGCCCCTTCTTTCAGCTGGAGCCACTCAACTTCTAGGGGTTGATTCCCCGTTCACTTCTCCCATCGGTCTTTTCCACAACCGGCTGTTTCCCCAATATTTGGGTTTCATCGAATCAGGTTTTGGGCAAGCTGCCCACGCAGCCCTTCCTTTTCTGCAACAATCCAGGCGATGGACGCCTTGGCCACAGTCTATCCATCTGCATCTAGCATATCCTGACAGCCGGTGCACGGCAAAAGTTGATGCACACCTCAGAGACCGCACTGCCGCGCGGACTGGGATGGCAACTAGGTCCTCCAGTAGAGAGGATGGAAAAAGTTGCACCCGAGGTTTTTACTGTAGTCTATTTTACCAGTAGTAGGGGAGAGAAGGGCACTACCGGCACTACTGGGGGACCCAGGCAATTCAAAGTGTGACGTGCTCGTATGTCCACCATGCGCGAGCTTTTCCTGCCCAACAAAAATAATATCCTCTCGGCAGCAAGATAACATGTCTGAACACTTGCAGCCCCCGCACGCCGGAATCAAAACTGCTTCTGCAGCACGCATGCAATTCGCCATCCAATCCAAAAGATGACTCGCTTTTGGAACACAGGCGAATTTCTATTGGGAATGAACGGCAGCCCTTTTGCCACTGCCACACTAGTGGTAGAGCCACCAACTAGCAAGGCCAAGTGTGGTTCTGTGCAAGCGGCACATCTAACCCTTCGGTTCTGCTCGAAGAAACTCTGTACCACCGAGGATCGCGGACCCCCTAGCGATGGACGCCAAGCTGGTGCACAACATAGGTGCTCTGTTCGACTTTGATTCTAAAGCCGCAGCCGCTACCTCAGAGACTGCGGCGCCGCGCGGATGGCAATTAAAAGTGTGAAGTGCTCGTATGTCCATCATGCGCGAGCTTTTCATGCCAAAACAAATTCATATCCCCTTCAGCGGCTATATGATATACGGCTTCAATTGTCGCCCCGCGCACGCCGGGATCAAACCACCCTCTGCACGTGTCCACACACACACACATGCAATGGACCATCCCATCCGAAAATGGCGAGTGGTGGGAGGTATGGTGGCAAGCTTCTATTTAACAATAAACGGCAGGCCTTTTGCCACTCGAAGATTTGAGCCAGTGTCAATGTTCATTGCAACCTGGGAATTGAGTTGGTGATGGGTGTGGTCCCTATCGATGACAAATCTGGAGGGCGCTCAAAATGTTTAGAAGCCAGGCCTGACCAACGTTCAGGTGTTTCTTCCGCATTTCACAACGACACCACGGCGTTCTGGCCCCGCCCTTTTGAGCGGATGAGGAGGCAAGGCTTCGCCAGGGAAATGTCCGGCTCATTTTTCTGTGATCTGAAGCCAGCCAAGGAGATGTCTGGCCGCCGCATTTCCCAGCGCAAATTCGCGATGTACAACTCGAAGTCCTCAGAGCGCCGCTCCACCACCGCCAGGAAGCGCTTGAGCCTCTCGCCGTGCCGGATCGATGCCGGGTTGTCGGAAAGCGCGCCGCTTTTGGACGAAGACACTGGTCGAACGCTTCCCGCGCCACTGGCCAACTGGAAAGCCTGCGTCACGCTCTTGGGCAAAGGCATGGCGGAAGTCAGTGACAGAATTCGTGGCTGGGGCCAAAGACTCGGAATTTGCCGAGAACCCTCCCTCCATATGATTGGGAGGGAGCCCTCAGCGGACCCTCTAAAATCCTTTCTTTCCAGACCTTGACCATATAGAAGGGGGATGATCTGCCTCCAGTCGTTTTCTTGGTTCCAACTATTTGCCTCCACATTCAACCACTCTTTTGGTTCCCCTGCTTTGAGACCAGTCCAATTTAATTAGGCTGGAACTCCAAGCGCCTCCCCCGCACCCGAATCCGCCTGCGCGATCGACTTCGCTCCTTGCCAGCCGCCTCGCGAATACACAATTTTCTGTGTGATCCCCTTGGTCAAGATAGGCGGAAGTGGCTTGAGTCGGTTCAAAATACATGGGGACAATAAGCCCATTGCTACGAAACTTGGACATCCCCGTGGCAGCTGCAAAAACCATGGGATTCCATAGATGTGTGGCCGTAACATGTTAAAATCCAGTTCTCCATGAAGGGGGATCTTCTGCTCACTTTCTCAGTGGATCGCCAGAAGAATCCAAGAACAGTTGATTCACCCCCACCCAGCAAGCCGGAAAATGAGTGCGGTATCTGAAGCTCCGGAAGCGAATGAACACTTCGACTTTGACCAGCTTTCGCGAGGCTGAACTTTCCACCTCGGACGGTTCCTATCAAACTTTCTATTAATAGCTTTAGAAACTCTTGTTACGGGGGGTGGGGTGGCCAAAATGGGTTGCCCTGGTAAAAGGAAACATGGACTACAACCTGCGGTCCCTGGTGGTTCAATTTTGACCCACAGCCATTTTATCAACCCAGCACGAGCCCGCAGGCTTTGAACAATGAGGACTCTCTGAGATTCTCAACTGCAACCTCCCCGAGCTCTTCATGGAAGCTCTTCATGGAAACCAGCCGTTTTGACGAAGCCGACAAACAAAAGGATGGGCAACATTCAGCTGTGTTTGGGAAATGCAACACTCATATATCGCACGTGTGATCAAATACTCTGGATGTCCCCTGGCTTAGTTCTGATGAAACTTGGCCACCGCCACATCAGCACCGCCCCACTGAGCTGAATTTTAGTTGGGGACCCTTTGGTGGACATGAGACTTCGGCGGGTCCCGGTTCGTGTCAAAAAAAAATTATAAGACCCTGATTCTAATGCGTCACTTATTTATGTGAAATGAACAGCTATGTCCTGAGCACGGGTCGGGTGTGCATTAGGGTAAGAGACTTGAGGGTCCCCCCGCCGCAATCCGAAAAGAAGGAAGTAGCGAGGTCACCCCCAACTTTCTCATTTGATCTGCCTGGGTCCCATCTATTGGGAAAATGTGTCCTTTTGCAATGGGACAGAAAACCCTACTGTGGATAGACGAAAACCATTTCGCACCACCTAACAAGCCTAAGAAGGCCTGGAATGATGATTCCGCTGTACATACCAATGAACAACGGCTTCGCATTGTTCCCAAGTGGTGCAGGAGTATGTCCATCCACAGTCGGATTCTCACCTTCGAGACATCTATTTGGGTGTGTCTTTTTCGGGGGAGTGTTTATGGGCTTTACCGGAAAATTCAACGGAGCATCATCTGCGCTGTCCAAACTGATCCCCTGCTAAAAGAGAGCTTCGCTTTCAGAGGCTCAAATGAAAACCGCCCACTAAGCTAACAAGCTAGTTTTTTTTGAGAAAAAAAAAGAGAGGCTAAACTACACCGCACGGAATTAAAAACCACCGAGTCATCGATTTTTGAAGGCTCCGCTCTTGAGACAACCCCATCCACCCACACCCCGACGTCCCGGATCTCGCCTGAGGGGCGGATGGAGCACGCTTCTCCTATGGGCCGGTGCAACTCGCGTGCTGGTGCGACACGCAGGGAATTGAGGGAACGAACCCCACAAACCATCCCCGATGGCTTCCTTGCCAAGAAAATCCACTTCCGGCATGTCCATTCCATTTCTCATTCCCCGCTGAAGCAAGTTTTGGAGGGCACCCGCCAAAACGGCGGGGGTCCTCTTGGTCTCCCAAAAAAGAATGCCACAAAAAAAGGGTACCTATTGAAAGACAGAGCCAAATAGGAATCGCTCCATGTCCGAAAGTGGCTAAAATTGCCCTAAGTGGCTTCCATTTGCAAACCGATTGCTGGCCTCATTATTTTACCATGATCAAAGTCACCCCCTAAGTGGTGGGTTAAAGGGAAACGACCCCATTTACTGACTTTGAGAACCCCCGGAAACCGTCAAAATAATGACCCCAGGATTGGTTTGTCCATGTTGAGAAGCTGACCCAGTCGGACATTCCACAAGCAATCCTGTCGCTGGCCAATTTCCTGAGCTTTCTGTTGGTTTCTGTGAATCAGGGTTCCAAGAGAAATCGCTATAAGTTCTCAGGTCCTGGTCTGGAGAGTCATCCTGGGAACTCTGCGTTTTTGCTTGACAACGGAGAAAGATACAAATGCCACTAGGAGATGTGGGTTGAAACTCGAGTCAAGTTAGTGTTTGTTTTGTAATACAGTCGTTGTTTCAGGGTTTTTGTGCATGACATCCTAGAGGAATCACCGTGGTTCCCTGGGAACCTGACTCCAAACATTGGAAATCAATCACAGTGGCTTTTGGGGGTTCTGACTGCCACTTTTGCAGGTTGGAAAAGGGGAACACTTACAGTCTTTTCAGCTGTGTTGCATAACATCCTGGCGGAATCACGGTGGTCTTCCTAAACTGACTGGCAAAAAGGGGGACTCAGCCGCGGTTTTTTGCTCGGACACCCCCGCTCCAAACAACCGCATCCCCACTCCGATCTCCGAAGCCTCGTCGCTGGGCGGCTCGGTGTCCTGAAGCCCGCTATGTCATGAACGAGGGCGTTCGGTGAAAAAAATGGGACAGCCCCCTCGGGACACCAGAAACCTTTAAACAAAAGGGGGACGGCTGGCTACCAAGGTAGGGAATGGGGGGGAAGACCCTCAAGCAGGGCCTAGGATGCAAAGAATTGTGAGTTGAGAAGTGTTGTCAACATATTCCCTGCTGAGAACAAGGGAAATCCTCTAGACTTCGGATGGCAGTTGTTCCGCTCTTTGGGTGCCTCCTCAAAATTGATGCACACCATACCAAGTGATGCAATCAACTGAGTCTAAGTCATGCGGGCAACGTGGAAGCCCTTGAGGTGGCACAAGATGATACAAACAGCGCAGCTTTATTCTGTGACAATCATGCATTGAGAGGGGGGAGGAAATGAAACCATTGAATTCTGCCCAGGTCTCATTTTCGTGCCCCGACCGAGGTCGGGGACCTTGATAGCAGAAAGTGCGCATGCCGTGAATATGTTCTTAGAATCGTGAAGACTGAAAGTGGATGGTGTCCTTTTGGTTACCGTTTTGTCACGCTTCATTTCCTGGTTTCGGCCCTTTGCACACCCTCTAGGCATCTTGGCTTCAAGTCACAGCAGTTTTCGCACCAGCCAGCAGCCACATGGTTGTGCCTTCTTTTCAGGGACCCCCCCCAAAAAAAAAAATGGGCGGGTGTTCCTGTTGGTTTCCTTCAAACCCCACTGTGAGGTACCCCAAACAAGACACACCCACATCTATGGCGCTTTGAAGGCTCCCAAACTGCATCAAGCTTTTCCTCGAAGGCCACCGCCTGAGAGTCTCAGGTGAATCCCTAGGTTTGTCAAGTTGGTAACCCCTTTTCCCTCTTGGCCGTAGGCCAAGTCCTCCCAGATGATCCTACATGGTTTTACCAAACTTGGGCGTGACACACGTCTAGACATTTATTTTGCTCCCATGGCCAAACGAACACTGGGATGTGCAAAGTAGATGAGACTTGGGATCCCAAATCGCATAATCCGGGGGACGCCAATGCAACAAGAGGGGCCACCATCATCTGGCATAAGGAGCAAGGATTGACTTTAGACGACGCAAAAAAGGCAACCAACCAAGATGCAGGTTTGGACATGTTGGCTTTGAAGAAGCCAAGATTGGGAAAATTTAGTGTGTATAGTGTGGATATATGGGGTCGTCTTGTTTTGCGGGTACCCTTTTTTTGTGGCTTACATGGAAACCAAAGTAACCCACGCTTCTTGGGGGGTCCCCCAAAACAGTCAGACCCATATTTCAAATACCCTTGTTCCTTCTCACATGAATTAATACATATATATTTATGTATATATACATAAATTCTATTCAGTACCCGCCTTTTCAAACAATCACAGGAACGAACCGCGCCCCAAACGTCTACTTCCATGGTTGCTGGACAAAGGGCAATACACACAAACCCGCAATGAGGCCCATGAGGCCCCGGTACTCTTTTCATGTTCATTGCTTGTGGGTTATGCTTGGTTAAACTATAACATGTTATGAGAAACCATTGAGGAATCCCCTATTTGCGTATTTGGAGGGACCCCGTGTTTGGGCTCCGCGGGTGTAACTGCTGAAAGGCACGCGCTTTGGTGTAGTGTTCAAGGGAAGCCAAGAGGATATCCCAAGATTGCTGTTTTCCTCTCGGTTTCCCTATAGAAACCACCAAAAAAAGTAGCAACTCACAAAGAGACCCCCTCAGATCCCCTGCTTAAAAGTTGAACTTTTAGTGGGTTAAATACGGAAATCCAACTACTCAAGCAACTGAAAGCTAAAAGCTAAGGAACCGGAAAGGGGGTACCAACTCAAAAAGACCCCCTCCCCCTGGTATAACCAGAGCATGTTTGTCAACGGATCCTCGTCCTTGCCCTCGGGCACGGCACTCTCTGGGCGCTTGAAGACGAGACAACTCGCCGACTGAGCGCCGGGGATTGTCCGTTCGCGCATTTCGAAAACCGGTCATAGACGTTATGGGGGGGGCGCCCACCAATTAATCAACATGGAACCTGAAGTTCGGGGGCCTGGTTTGAACCATTCTCCTTTTAAAGGGACCCCCTGTCAGGTTCCATGTTGATTGGTGGGAGGGTACCCAATTTTAGACATCTGTTCAATGGAAAAGGCCTTTTCGGCCAGTCCACCAGTGATCGGCCTAACACACAGACTTCTAGCAACAGAGTGAGTTCCGCTGTCCTTTGTAGTGCCGACAATTCAGGGTACGACCCAAGCTCAAGTGCTTGTCGAGCACAGCAAAGACGATCTCTAAGCATTCTTGACCCACAGGTTTGACCCCTTTCTGGATGCATTCAAGTGATCTCCTCATGGCCCGCCCCAAAAGAAGCTGCCGACCCGCCTCACTCGTGGTTCAAAGGAAGCCAAGTACCCTCCCTCCGAACATGGAACATGACGTTTCGTTTTGGGGCCCTGGTTAGGACCATTTTCCTTTTGAAGGGACTGTCAGGTTCCACCATGCGGAGATTCTGAGAGCTCATCTTCCCAAGTGCATCCAAGCTCTAATTGAAGCCGCGGGAAAACTCATCTTATCCCTGCCTCCCTCTATGTGGCTGTGGCTCAAAAAGCCACCAAAATGGAACCTTGGTAAGTGGACACATGGACCAAAACCTGCGGTTTGCCGACTTCGCTGGGGATTCATGTCCATCACTTTTCAGGTGATTCCCTATGAAATTTCATCACGTGTCAGGTGATTCCCTAGAAAAATTCATCATGTTTGAGGTGATTCCCTAGTAAAAATCATCATGAACCGTGTTTGAGGTGATTCCCTGGTAAAATTCATGGCCATCTCATCCATTCATGGCCCAGTCCCTCCATGAAACCCAACTCGACTTCACGCCCCCGGGCCTTGAACCCTGGGGTCCTGGGGCCCTGGGGCCCTGGCCCGCAGCAGGGCCGCCACCTTCTCTTGGCTCAACGAGGCCGTCTCTTGACCTCGCGCGCGCTATTTCTTGTTTTTGTTTGGCGGCCAATGGGCCCCCCCCCAAAATCTATATATGTGAACCACTCCCCCCCCCCAAAGAAAAAAAGAAGGAGAAGGCGACAGGAAAATCCCCCCCCGAAAAAAATGGTGTTGTTGTTGCTTTTTGCATTTGCTCACTTGCAACCAAGGGGCCCAAACATAGAAGGTGATCACCATTTGGGGCCAGCCATGGAAACAGGGGACACGAAAGGTCAGAAGTTGTCGACTCGCTTTTGGGCAAGTGAGCCCACAATCCACTAGTCCAGGAGGTTCTGCAAATTCTTGAAGAGGGGTAGCTCAAGCCTATAGCGTTCCCTATGCCCACCACTTAGATGGTCTTTAGATGTTCTGTGAGTTGGCAAAGTGGTGAGCACCCTAGTTTCAATCTTAGCCAGCTTCCGCACCATCTCAACTATCCGCACAAATAGCCCAAGCTAACTGGCTGCTACCTCCCCCCAAGTACTATCTGGCTAGTACCCCCACTCCCTCAAGTACTTCCAAATAGCATCCCAATCAGCTGATATAATGTTGTAAATAGTTAGAATCCAATCCAAACTACCAACAAGAACCAGGGCTTCAAATCCAACCCGAAAGCAATCCAAACCACTCTGTTTGGTTTCCTGACACAGGGTTCCTTACTTCCGCCCCTTTTTTCATCACCCCGGCAACTCTGGCGGCTCCGGGCCGTCGATGCTCAGCAACAGGTCGTCGCTCTGGACCCCAAACTTTGCCTCGCAAGGGCCAATGAAATGGGTGCTGGGTGATGTTGCTGTTATTCTTTGATGAAAAAAAAGAGAACATGAAACAAACACAAACTAAAATGGGAAAGAATGAAGGGAGGGAGGGAGGGATGCAGAAATTCAGAAATGCATGGATGATGCATGGATGGGTGAATGGATGGAAAGCGGCGGGGCGGGCGGGCGGGCGGGCGGGCGGGCGGGGGCGGGGCGGGCAGGGCGGCGGGCGCGGGCGGGCGGACGGGCGGGCGGGCGGGCGGATGGAGGGGTGGGCGGGCGGGCGGGCGGGCGGGCGGGCGGGCGGGCGGGCGGGTGGGTGGGTGGATTCCCTACATGGGCGTGATGTTGATGTGTTTTGGTCTAGTTGTTCAATCAAGGGAACGCATGAATGGATGGAATGCAGCACTGAAACAAATACATGAGTTTTAAAAATATGCTGGATTACCAAAATGGGTGTGGTTGCCCCCAAAAGGTTGGTATCTCTTTGACTTCCTTGAAATTACTCGCAAGAAAGGTATGCTCCAAAACAAATCACTCTCACATATTGCAAGTGATCCAACAGCATCCAACCGTTTTGAGCGCAGTCCCATAGAAACCATGAAAATACATGAGTCATGGAAGTGAGGCTGGCAAAAACCACGAAACCGGTTGTAAAACCCACCAAATCACCTGAACACAGATGACAAGACTGGCTCTAAACCCTGGCAGGGTTAAGTGAATCCTCTCAACCCCCACCCCCCGGTTTTCTCCCACCCCCCCACCCCCCCATTCCGCCGCCCATTGGGTCCCGCGCCGGCTCGCCCGGGTCCACGTGCAGCACGTGGGGCGCTTGGCCGGGCGAGACGAAGCCCAAGGCGCAGCCTCGGGCACGTGCTGCGATCAGCGGGGGGCCCCGGGAGTTGTGGAACCGGACTCTACCTTGGTGGGTGGGGAGGGTGGGGAACCCCATGCTGGTGGTTTCCTGGAAGGGAACCCCAGAAATGGTGGTTTGGGTGGGGAACCCCTTGCTGATGGCTTCAAATGATAGGGAACCCCAGAAATGGTGGGGTGGTTTAGGTGGTTTACCAAGGAGGTGGGAAATGAGTCTGTGATACAAGAAATGGGACTCCCTTATATAAAGGAAAGATACCACTCGGGCCTACTTTTGTGTTATCAAGCCTAGGCCACCTAAGGTAATACCTAGGCAAGCAGCAAACCGTTGACTACTTTTCACACTGCTGATAGTGCTCTTGAAGTCTGTAGCGGCGGAGCATGTACAAGGTACACTCATGCACAGGGTTGGAACCTGAATCCACACCCCCCTCATTTGAGATTGAGCAACAACGAAAATGTCGGCAGGTTTTGCAACCCGCTTTGATTCCATACGCACATCCATTGCACGTTGAAAATGGACATTACACATCCGTCGTGCATGCAAATTGCTACTCTCTCTCAGAAGGGCTCCGTTGTGATGAGGATTGCATTCACCACCTTCCGCTAGTAGACCAGCCGCGCGAACTCCAGGTCGACCACTGCCAGCTGCTCCAGTCCTGACTGCTCCAGTCCTGACTGCCCCAATCTCTCCAGCTTCGGCTTCTGGCAGCGGAGCTGGAGGCGGGCTGAGCAGCTTGCACAGGTCCGCGGGCGCGGTCCTCGGCGCTTTGCCTTTGGCTGCGCCGTGCGAGCTTCTTCGCATCGTCCTCCGCCTGGCCGCAAATCTCCTTGACTTCAGCTTCGAGGTCCACGGCTCCGGTTGCCCGGAGCGTAGGGAACTTCCCGCCAAAGGTGACAAGATTGCGCATCCCCGGGAGGATGTTGACCTGGTCGACGAATTGATGAAGACTCAGCATTTTCCCGTTGTACGAGAATAGCCATGGAAACTCGAGCAGGCTGTCGTCATAGTCCCCGACCTGGCCGCCGGTGACGTAGACGGTCCTCACATATTGGAGACCTCGTTTTCCATAGCGTGGCCCAACCCCGAGAAGTCGTTGATCATAACTCCGTGGAAATTCGGGGAGGACACAAAACCTATAGATAGACATCTGGTAGAGGCTGTCGCGGTTGTGCCCTTGCTCCACCATGCGAAGGGCAAAGGTTGCGTCTTTGTCGAACCGATCAACCACGTTGCCGTACCCAAGCTTGCGGGCCCTGCTGTCGTAGTTCTTCGAAGCCTCGATCTGCTTGGCTTCAAAGGATGTTGCTCCTCTCTTTGCAACATCAGCATAGCCCTTGAAATCATTGATGAGGAGCTGGTCAACCGTCTTGCCGACGCGGTGGCTCACCTCCTCAAGCATCTGCGTTCTCCGCTTTGCGGCTCTGAAGAGCTGAACGTCGTTGTTCTCCTTGGTGCTCCGTCCACAGCGCTGACACTTGATCTGCCCCTGCATCATGTCCTCGCCGCAGAGGCTGCAGTCCGTGTGGTGGACAGGCATCGCAAAGGTCTTGAAACGGACAACTGAGGTGTCGGCCGCGGGTTGCCCCGGGCAAGAAGCGGCCGTATCCTCATTCGTCTGCTCTTCTTCAGGATTTGTGGCCCTGTTCCCCTCCGCATCGACCTGAAAGGCCTCGTCTGCAGTCACAGTGACGGCTTGCCTTGCGGCGAGCATATCGACAGTCGTTTGATTCTCCAATGCCTCCAGACGAAGAGCGTTCCTCCAAAGCACTTCTCCGGTCTTCGCGTCTGTGTAGTACAGAATGGAGTCATTGGGAACGATGTCGTTGGTCAGCATGACATCAGACTCGGAAAGGAAAAACACCACTCCGAGCTCAATCGCATACTTGAAGTCGATCACAAGCTCAATGGGCATCGTTGCTCGGACTCCAGCATTATACGATGAGCTCTCTACCGGGTGGATGGAAAAGTGACTTTGCGAGCGGCCACTCTCCGTGGCACCAACGCCACCCGGGACCAAACCTGTCCTGACGATGTTCTCGGCTGCGTTCTTGCTCGTGCGATGGTATAGTTTGCCAGGGCCATCATCAACCGATGAAAGTTGCAGTCCAGCCTTGCGAGCGTCCTCCGGGAGAAACTTCCCATAGACGGCCTTCGCAAGGGCATACTGGTTCCGGCTGATGTCGCCATCAGCATCAACGCTGCTGGCGTGTCCCTGACTGGCACGAACCTTGATGACAACCCACTCCTGGTTGTTCTCGGCCGCCGAAGGGTGCTTGATCGCGAGGACGGTGTATCTGCATTTCGGATCGAGTGCAAAAATCTTCAACAGCGTTTTGTACCCGATATTGCTGCGGGTCTTTCTGTTGAATTTGTCACATAGCTGATGGACGTCGACAAAATAGTTCTCATCGAAATCGAGTGGCCTCTGTTCTTGAAACCTGCCACGAAGCATACCAGATATGGTTGTGCACCGATCGGTAGAGGACGTTTCTCCCTTCATGAAGTTGGGCACCTTCAGGATCGTGCCCGGGAGAATCCTCGCCTCATACTCCTGGCCGCGGAAGATGACGGTTCCGCCGGGCTTGCCTGGCAACGCGCTTCCGGCAGGGGTTGCCCCCCGCACATCCGACGCCACCGCAGCAGTTGATGGTTTCGCCTGTACCTTAGGCGATGCTTTCGCGGTGAACTTGGGTGTAGCCGGAGCGGCCTTGACGCCAAGCGCAGCCTCAGCGGCACTCCCTTGCGGGAGTGCATCATCGTCATCATAGTCGATCTCCTCCTTGATTTCGACTTCCTCGATCTTTTCGAGGATGCGGCCCTTCGCGAGCTTGATCGGACGTTGAAGGCTTTCCCATGACTCAAGAGTGAGCTTCCTGTTCGCCTCATACTCGGCCAAAGTGTCGGGATTGAGTCCAGCTTCGGCGTCATGAGAATATTCAAGGTACAACCTGACGTTGTTGAAATCTTCTTTGTGGGACTCAACGACAGCGACACACTTCATGACGTTGTACAACGACCACAGCCACTCCACCGTCGTCTTCCGGTTCTCGATGGAGTCCATCATGTGATAGTTGTCAAGCCGGTCCTGACGAGATACCAAGAACGTCGACTCCTTCTTGCGAAGGAGCTTGTGCTTGTTGAGCGACTCATCCAACAACTTTTCCATGAACTGGTTGTAGATGGGCGGGAGCATATAGTACGAACCCTCGGTGTTGGCCAAGATCGTGATGTTTGCAATGCCCCACCAACTCCTGCACTCCTCAAGCACATCGATCGCCTTGGCGCACTTGTTGAACAGCTCGGGCCAGTGACCGTCTCCGCAACGGTATGGCCATTCGGGCTCATCGCAGATCCCACCGCTGCCAACGAGCTCGTTCCCGGACCAGTACACCGTCACGTAGAAGTCGTGGTCCTTAAACTCAGGGCGCTTCTTCAAGTCCTTCATGGCGCTCTTCACTGTCCACGTGAGAAATGTGAGGTCCTTTCCCCAACACATTCTCACCTCACAGTGGCTACAACCAGTGCTGCGGTTGTAGTTCATGTCCTGCGCCAAATCCGCCCTCTTGCGGTTCTTCTTGCCACCGCTGATGAGGGCGAGGCTGGAGTCACTCACAACAAGGTATACGCTATTCCGGCCACAGGTTGCCCCGGGCGTGATGCGGCCAAGACCTTTGTCGTTAACGGCGCAGAGCGTATCCATGAGCTCCGGCGCGTAGTCAGCCGCCCACATAGCGCATGAACTCTGAAGGGTGGCCTGTGCTCCGAGGATCTGCTCCATTGTCTTGCGATCCTCAGGCCTCGTCTCCTGGAACAAGGTGTTCGACGTGAAGCTCGTCATCACACCTCGCCAGTACTCCAAGTTGCCCTCCTCATACTCCCCGAGATTGTAAGCAGCCATTGCGGCTACCGGTGAGGGAAGCTTAAGAGCAACAAGTGCACGTTTTGTTGGTCTCTGAGCCGAGCTATCGGTGACAACCTGTTTCATGCTGTCAGCAAACTCAGAAAAACATCCATGGATCAGGTCAGTCATTTCATACGTGTAAGATTCAGCACGTTTGAGGGCCGCCCCCCTGGACTGTCCATGCTGATGATCCTTTGTGCACTTATACTGTTGCAGTTTGGCCAACGATTGACAGGAAGAAGCAATAGTCCATGACTTTTGCAACAAATTTCCATCCTTGTCCAGGACACCAAACATGCAACCATCGCAATTGTACTTGACCATCTCATATTTCATGAGGAAATCATGCACGAAATAGTTCTTCCAATAACTGCAAAGCTTAGGAAGTTCCATGTTGATCACAAGCACAATGTCAAGCTGTCGAAGCATAGTGATAAGTTTGTCCAAACGCTTCAGCAGTTTGCGAAACAACGCCTTGTGGTCCTGGATCTTGGCTTGACCTTCTTGAGTCTGACCATTGATATTGTTCCAGGGGCACCCACCCGTACACGGGAGTGAAGCATGAAGCATCACACAGGGCGGTGTTTTGGCCTTGACATTCTTCCTGAAAAGTTGCACCTCGTCAAATACCCGTTTCAATGTATCAGCAACCAACGCATTCTGACGCTCAGTTACTCTAAGCACCTTGCAACCAAAGGCTGGTAATCTTGATTTGTCGCCGAGCTTGGAATCATCAGAACAGCAAAATTCGCACAAGAACCGATCATAGGTTTCATGCGTGGAAACGGCGGAAGCTTGCGCCTCGCTAGTGGGGGCTGGTTTGATTGTAATGTTTCCATCCAACTGCACCCACCGTACTCCAATAAGATTGCACGCGTGATCCCATTTTGCTTTGCTCGTAAACGGCTTGGTCAAGATGTCCGCAACCTGATACACAGTGTTGACATTGACGAGATTGAAGAAACCTTTCGTGAATTGTTCTCGAAGCCACGCCAAAGAAGTTCTTTGAGTTCTGTCAGCATGACGAAGCTGTGCGGAATTTCCAGTCTGAATGATGTGAATCGTTGCTTGGTTGTCTTCGCAAAA